GTGGGATGGATTACTTGTATAATGAATAATGTGATTTGATGAAGAATAAAAGAATTGTGCAACGCAATGCCAAGGACGCGTAATGATACATCAAATACATGTAGCTGAATAAGTTAGTTAATCAGCTCATAGATAAATATATAAAAATAGAATAAAATTTAATATAAATTATATATAGCACAAATCAACATCGTGCGTATGATGTAAAAGAAAGAATTGTCTGCAGGATACACGTTTTTCTGATACACGTATGTGTGATTATGTGTATTACAAACAAAAATAACGACAACAAAAAAGTTTTTGGAATATCTCGCTATAATCATTATAAAGCACTTTAATTTATTAGTTGATCATAGTTCATAACCACCGATTTCACAATTCCAATAGTCTCTTGCCAGATTTGTTTTATATGCCAAATAGACGAATCGTTGAGATCGCATTTTTCCTTAAATAAAAATATTAATTTTTGTTATGCCCGGTAAAAACTAATAAATTGAATTGCTCGGTAAAATAATGAAGTATACAAATAAAATAATGCACATAATGTACCCTTACCAAAATCATCAAAGCATCCTTAGCATCTTTGATTACATGATCGCAGATCCACGTTAAACACACTTTTACTAATTGTTCGTTCTCTGGATCAACATGTTCCATTTGTCCATTAACAAGACTTTTCCATTCCTTCATTATTGTCTGCTTATACCGTCGATGTTGTTGCTGCCTTTCTTTAGAAGGAAATGATGTATCATCCCAAGCAAAAGAAAGTTGATGGTTTTGAATTACTCGAAACCGCAATGCGGCTAATAATCGGAATGAAATTTCTGAAAATCGTAATGTATAATCTCTATAAAATGTAAGCGTCTTTTATTAATTAAAAGTCATTGCTTGTGATACATTTTAATATTAAGTTACTCAAGAAATCCTTGACTCGATAAAAGATTGATTTTCTCCGCTTTTGATGCAATGGTCTCGTTCGGTATTGACAACATTGAAAATTCATTATCCACAGAAACGTAATTATACGGATTATTTGAAAGTACGAATCCGTATTCAATTAATGTGAAAAAATTGTCATGTGGACCATAATTTATAAATGCCTGGGTTAACTTATCAGAGTTAATTCAGAGAAATAGAATAAATATTCTCTTTCTTTTTGCTCACTTGCTCTCCTTTTTGGTATGGTGTAAATGTAGTGATTTCATAGCAATTAGAGGAATTATTATATTCACCCTTGATCTAGTAATGTGCATCATTAATTAAATTAAAGCTTTTATTCCTTCATAAGCAAAGATTTGATTGATTAATTTTTGGTAGTACCTTTGCCTTATAATTATGGTTCAAGAAATCTAACATTGGCGCAACCGCTATGTTATCAAGTGAACGAGAGGGTTTATTTGTCTTTAGGTAGATACAGCGTGTATTTACTGGAATTTAAACGAGATTAAATAAATACTGAGAAAAACTAAAAAAAAAATTAATAATAAATAATCATACCACAAAACCAGCCCCATATAAATTCTGGACGTGAAATATTTACTAACTTTTAAATGGTATTTTTAGTATTATATTCTATTTCAGATAAAAATTCCATCTCATTTGATCACCTTAAGATAACATTTGACATTATCATAATCATGTTCAAATTTTTGTCTTTGTCTTTTGACATCGTCTGTATGTACAATTTAAATTATTAACAAAGCATGTTAAGAAAAATAAGGAGACATTTAATTTTCTCCAAGTTACCTTTCACAATCTTGGGCAATAATTCAAACAGATTATCATCAAAGAAAAATGGAAGAGAACAAAAATCTTCAGGTAATAATTTCAAATATGGCAAAAAAAAACTGTCGCAACTATTTTTTCTCTTTTGTTGATGTTTCTGTAAAGCCAAATATAAAGCGATTGCTTGATATGCAGAAATATTGTCATTATGTTTCAAAGAACATCTAAATCCTAAAAATTTGTGGTAATTAATTAATTTATAAGATGATAGAGCAGATCTAGAAAGAGAAACTATGTGACTATACCCATGTTTCGAAAAAATGTTATCTAATTCGGGGATGACCATTTCTCTTGTTAACAAGAATTTCTTGGGTACCGATATGATCACTTCGCCTGCCTGTTGTCCAAGATGATTAATAATTCATCAATTAACAAAGACACATAATATCAAACTTGTAATTTATACCTTGATCTTTTTGGTGACCAGTAAACCTCTTCCAATCCCTATAAAATAATCATATCAGCATTTTTTATGACAATAAATTATCAGACTCTAATGAAAGTAAGAGCAAATAACCTTGAAAATTTCCAAGAGTTAACTTTGTTTTAGGAAAACCATTGCTTTTCAGCCAAACAACAAAATCTTTCCAATGCGCGTCAGTAATTACTTAAATGCGGAATTGAAACAATTAGTATGCAAATCGAACAAATGAAAGTATGATTCGGAACTTACTTTCACCTCTCGATAAATTCGAGGAGTTTTTCCCTCGGTGGCATCTAATACGAAAGGTCCGTCCACGCCGCTTTCTCTTCGTCTCCATAATTCAAAAATTAATAATGTAGATCGATTGTTATATTAACCATCTACGATCGATCCAATTTTTTAAAGAAATGAAACTCAAAGAACTTGAAGGTTTACTTCAGGATGTTACTGTTTTTGGTGAATAAAAAATTCCCATGAATGTTATTTTTATTACTTTTATTCTAAGCGACCGTTTACTTATTTACATACATAAATATAATGATGAATCAATTAAAGATGAGCCCAAAATTCATCTGGAACAATACGCGACAACACCACATTTAGCTTCAAGAATGCTATTTACTGCGCATTCTGTATATGATGACATTGAAAATAAAATAGTGGCAGATTTTGGTTGTGGATGTGGAATATTAAGGTAGATACTATTTTTGCATTTGCCAATTCGATAATTAAAGAATTCAATTTTTTATTGATTACATCAATAAAATAAAGAACAGTATCGCATCAAATATTCTCGGATCAAGGTTCGATTTTTTTGTTTCCTAATCTTAGGACTGCATATGCGTCAAAATGTTTATGATTTTTTTCTTTTTACATTTCTCGAAGCTATAATATCGCTGTAGACATCGATCCGGATGCACTCCAAATTGCTAACGACAATTGTTCGAAGTTTGAACTTTCTGTTGATTTTATATTGACAGATTTAACCTCGAATCCATTGTCAAAATGGAAAAAGAATAATAATAATAATATTATTGATACGATTGTAATGAATCCACCATTCGGCACGAAAAATAAAGGTGTTGACATGATTTTTTTGAAAAGGGCTGTGGAGGTGAGTTTTTTTGGGGGGGAATAAATATATTTTTTATAAGCTCTATTATTTAATATGGATTTTATTTCCAGGTTGCGAATAATGCTGTTTATTCGTTACATAAAACCTCAACGAGAGAGGTGAATTATTAATTATTAGTTGCATGATTTCACAAAACCATTTTTTTTTTAGTTATTAACTGCTTTTATTATTTTACATATTATCAATAGCACATACTTAAAAAAGCAAAAGAATGGGGAGTTGATTGCGAAATTTTGGCCGAATTGAAAGTATAAACACAATAATTCGCTTTGATGATTCGCAACCTTTTTTTATATTCTAATATTTATTTAATCATTTTATAATTACAGTTTGATATACCAAATATGTACAAGTTTCACAAAAAGAAGTCAGTAGATATTCAAGTAGATTTTCTGCGAATAGCAAAGTAATTTAATGTTGTTTATTTTTACGGTTATAATAAATACAATTATTCAATGTCACCGAAATCAACTTTGTTATTTATTCGTCACCTATGTTTCTTTGCAACATACTTCGAGACTTTCTGACTTGTCCGCCTAAATCTAGCGCCTGTGGCGATGAAATTGCTTGTTTATATAATTTTCTATGATAAATGTATAATAATGAAGACATAATTATTAGTATGAAACAGACAATTCTAGATATAATAGGATTGATTACGACTATAAAAAAATTAACCTTAAATGTTCCGAATGTCCACCCTCTTGTTTGAGTTTTGCCATATGCTCTTTTACCCTCCTTTCTTCCTCGTCCTCTGCCCGTTTAAGTTCTGCAACACGTATTGTACGTTCTTCAGAAAGTTTTTTAGCATCATCCATCATTTGTTTAAGGCGTTTTTGTGCTGCTTCTTTATTAGTATCTTCTCTGTCATGATGTCTTTTGCGCGATCTCTCTAAATGGTTATGACTCCGATTTTCAGATCGATGCCTCCCATTTAGACTAGGGCTTCGATCTCTATTATGTCTCTCCTTGTTATCCTTTTCTCTGCTGTGGTTCCGAATTTCAGATCGATGCTTCCCATATAGACTAGGGCTTCGATCTCTATTATGTCTCTCCTTATTATCCTTTTCTCTGCTGTGGTTCCGAATTTCAGATCGATGCTTCCCATATAGACTAGGACTTCGATCTCTATTATGTCTCTCTCTATTATCTTTTTCACTGCTGTGGTTCCGATC